ACTTTTAGAGTCTGGGTTGTGTTTTCCCCCCCTTTTTGTAATAAGGGTTCGGAGTAGCCTTGTACTCTAAATAAATAAACAAACTTCTTTTGCTGTTCAAAAAAAAAAAAAAATCAGCAAAGAAGAGGGAAAATCGATCTACTTGTTACCCATCTCATCGAAACCATCTTGAAGCGGCTGCCGTTGATAGAAATAGTGCGGGCAAAAGTTGTCTCTTCATCCTGGAAATCCACTGCAGAAACCGTCCTCAGTTGGAAGCCCCACCCAGTACTCATGCTTCCTCCGAAGCAAGACAACAGCGAAACTTAAACTCCACTTAAGCATATTTAGATTAATTTATTGGAGTTTCAACTTTTTGATACTATTTATATTTCATAAGTTTAAATTTTTTTCTTAAAAATTTATATTTTTAAATTTTTTTTAACTTTAAAAGACCCTAAACAGTAAAAACTTAAAATTTTCAAACTTTTACTTTTCATAAATTTTTTTTTCTCACATTTTTTTATCTCTAAAAATAATTTTTAAATTTTTTATCCAATAAAAATTTAAACTTATCACTCATAAACAATATTTAAAAAGCAAAAGCTCCGATAAATTAAACCAAACATGCCCTTATTCTGATTCTATTTACCCTTATGCTTCATGAACATGGAAGAAAATATAGTTTACAGTCTAACCAAGGCAACATCAGAGGCGTTCTCTAACTGTTGTTTCATCAGATCATCCCATGGGTGGTTGATTTTCTTGGAACCCTACACTTTTGCTCCATTCCCTTTTAACCCTTTCACTCATGCTCCAGCCCAACTTCCTTCACTGAAATCTCCCTTGGGAATATCCAGAATTGAGAAAACTGATTCGGGTACAATGTTCATTACAATTGGGCTATATAGGGGTATTAGGTATATGGTACAGAAAACTATTCTAACTGCAGAATCCATTTGTGATTTTAGTGTGTGTTTTGGATCTTCTACCATGCGAGATTGAACAAGCTTTTATTCTATAAGAATGGCAACAATTTCCTGGTTAGAATTTCATGGTTCTGAGATTGAGGCCTACAGAAGCTGCCTGAATATGATGTATACGAAGATATTACATGCCATGGAAATTAGCTCTGTGCTTTATTGACAAGTGGGACCGTTATTATTGGGGATTTACAAGGTTGTTTGACTGGGAAAGAACTGAATTTGGTACCAAGTTGCCTGACAAATAGGATGAGGAAGCAAATGGCAAGGATCTTTGTTCTCAAAAATACTTGGTTGAATTGGGTGGGGAAATTTTGCTTGTTGCGAGGTTTTTCTCATGGATTAGAGAGATAATAAAATCGTTGGGGGATATGTCAGTGTTCATTGCTGCACATCATTCCGTTTCATGATCGACAAAAAATCTTACCATTTGTAAAGGGAATTCCATTTACTTCATCAATGCTTATGACGAATGGCTAAAAGAAATGGGAATCTACAACTTAGAAGATGTAAAGTTAACGTCAACTCTGTGATTTTGGACCATGTTTGGCTTCCGAAGCCTCGGACTGCCTTAATTGGTTTCTTAAATGTAATTAATGATTTTCTTCATACTCCTCGTTAATTAAATGTAGTGAGTACGTTTTCTGTTATTTGGAATTCTACATTATGTTTGAGTAGAGCGAAAAAAAAAAAAAAATCTAAAGAATTAGAGAAGAGGGAAGGCTTTTTGCTTTATTATTATTATTTAAATTTATTTACTTGATAAGTTCTTCTCTCCTCCTTTCCTCTCAACTTAAATATATTATTAGTGATCATCAAGAAAAATGGGTTACTAATTTGAGCTAGATTGTATTTTTCTAACCTTGTCTATCGTAGCATTTCCATTTCTTATTTAAGGATTTGATTTGTATCTATGAATTTGTAATGTGGCTCTTACCCAACAACGGAATTTCAATAGCTCCAGTAACTCCCAACTGCCAAGATTATTGCAAATATGGATGGATATGCCCACTATCCATCCCTCCTTGATCTTCAGTTATTTCTATTTTTCTCTAGATCACCTTTCTAATATTTAATTAGAGCTCGATTTATCAAGAGCAACAATTACCAAATAATTAAAAACTCCCAATGATTTTTTTTGGTGGCAATCATGGCATACTAAATTCGATGGATGCACAAGACAATTCTAGAATAATATCAACCCTTCGCCAAAGAACAGTGATTCATGTACTCACCGATTTAACACCTTACAGAACACATATTCTATAAAATATATTTTGAAGTCAGTTAAAAATAAAACACAGATAATTTAATTATCTAAGTAGGAAAGCAATTTGGAAATTGAATTTTTTTTAGTGTATTGGTGAATATATATTTAGTTAGGCAATGGTTATGGGGTCACATGTAAAAGTGTTAGGGCCATAGAAATTTTTTTATATTATTTTTTAAAATACTAACTCAATTTAGTTTAATTGTTAGAACAACTAATAATTGTACATATCAAATGATAGATAACAAAACTACAAATATATTTATTATTTAATAAATTAAAAACAATTTATAAAATGATGTTTTTAAATAAGAAAATAATTGGTATACCTTCAAATTTAATATAACTTCCAACACTTGTTGGTTTAACTATTAAATTTTAAAACTTTAAGTTTTTTTGCCTTTAATTCAACTTTGAAAATAATAATTTCTTAATGAGTATATTTTAGAGTGTGTTAAATTAGAAAGTATTCATGTTAATGTCCTTTTAAATATTATAACTATTTATAAAAAAAGAAAATAACCTTATTTGTGTGACCATAATCGTGCCCTTTACTACAAGTCCTTTATTTTTGGTATATAAGAGGGTTAGCTACTTGGCAATATAGGAATTTAAACCTTTGACCTTGATCTCAAGTTAAAATTTTTAAGTTAATGGGTGCCAATTTAACTAAACTCTTGTTGATCCTTTTACTACTAGTCATAATAGTTAGCACAAACCCACACTTGCAAGAAGTGATCGCCTTGATACTAATTAAAACATTGCAAGCTAAAATTTGTTACTGCCTAACAATCCTTTGAGTTAAACTCTATGAACTCTAAAAAATTTAAATTCAAATTATTAATAATAATTGATTATAACAACTACATACTAATAATACTCACATTTCCTTCTTAACGTGGAATTCAAGGCGATACATCAAAGGCAAGTCAATCAATTAGACCAAATTGCTCTATAAACCTGTTAAGATCCTCCCTCTACCACATAGACTATGCATATGAAGGATAGTTAATTATCTAGCTATTACCTATGGAGACATTACTTTTCCTAAGACATACTTGGACTCTGAGTTTTTGCTTCCTTGCTTCCGAGTATAAAATGAAAAGGTTAACCCCCCAACTTACTCTCTCTCAACTATTATTCAAATTTGAATTAGTTTCTAAACTATAAAAATTCTTTGATTTTGGCTCTTAAAATTTAGTTTTTCAGCTTTTTTGTCCTTTTGTTGACTTTTTTTTATGGTGTGGCACATTAATTACTGGTTGGTCCATTTTTATTTCATACAGAAAATAAAATTGATGATGTGGAAAATCTAAGTGGTAAAAATGATGACATGGATAATAAACATAGGGAAATGATTTTTGTACAACCTTTTTATCCTACCTTTTTGTACAACCTGACGTGTCATTTAAATAATTGGTTCTTTTAATTCATGTGAAACCCATGATATTGAATGCATCCACTCATTTAATGACATATGAAAGTTGTATAAAAATGTTGTCCCTATAGCACCAGCCATAAACATAACATAAAATTTTACAATTAACCTTCTATCGTTAATCATATTGAAATTACAAATTTGCCCTCATCTTCTTCGTCTTGCCTCATCTCTTTTAGATTGTTTGGTCTTCTGCCACCACCATCATCCCACCAAAACCTAGAATTTCTTCAATTGAACTAAAACACAATTAACCCAAATTTTGGTTTCCAAACCCATAGATTACTCAACGTCCACCATAGATTTCATTGTTAAGACTAAAAAGAAATTAAAAAACACATTTTAGTTGCAAATCTCCACAACAATTTTTCCAACAAATTACCACATTAATGTCTCTTTTTTTTGTAAGGTAACTTTTCTAGAACCTCACCTTTGCACCTCTTCCACCAAACTTCTTGGGCTCACAACTCCTATGATCAGCCACAAGCAAAGTTTGATCATACCTGACCAAGATATGCTTGACTTCCCTCTTACTTTTTTCATCAACATACTTCTAGTAGAAAGTCACGAGCCTTGGCAATGCTTTGACAGATGGCATAGATCTCCCATAAATTCGGTCTCTCACTTAAGCAACTTGGAGAAGAAGGAAAAGGATGGAGGAAGAGAGATGTTGGAAAGTAGATCCGAGTTTTAGCCATTATCTCTATAATTTAGGAAGTTTAAGTTTTTTTATTTGTCTTTCCTATTGTTTAGGTTGTTATCATTTAAAATAGATTAGACAAATTTGGTTTATTGATTAGTTATCTTTTTAGATAAAGTTATCTTGTAAAGCGTATTTAAAGGCTAGTTTATTTTCATTTTAACATGAGTTTGATTTTCATTCCATTTTATTCTTCTCAAGAATCCTTGGTTTCTTAACATTTGGTATCAGAGCCTATTCTCGGCAAATTCCATGGCTTCCAAAAATTATGTCCAATCCTCAATCCCTCATTTTGATGGTCATCATTACAACCATTGGAGTATGTCGATGGAGAATTTTCTCAAGTCCAAAGAGTATTGGATAGTTGTTGAAGCTGGAGTTCCAAAACCAGTGGCAGGTGCAGATGATGCACAAAGGGCAGAAATTGAGAAGGAAAAGTTGAAAGATCTCTATGCTAAGAACTATTTGTTCCAAGCCATAGATCGGGCTATTTTGGAAACAATCGTTAATAAGTCTACTGCCAAGACTATTTGGGATTCCATGAAGAAAAAGTATCAGGGGAATGAAAGAGCAAGGTGGTAGCAGCTCCAGGCTTTGTGGGTGGAATTTGAAGGTCTGCAGATGCAGATTGGTGAAATTGTAGATGATTATTTTTCCAGGATGATGGCAATTGCAAACAAAATGAGGATCCATGGTGAAAATTTGAAGGATGTTGCCATAGTTGAGAATATCCTTTGATCCATCACAATAAAATTCAAATATGTTGTTTGTTCAATTGAGGAGTCAAATGATATTGAGGCACTCTCCCTTGATGAGTTGCAGAACTTGTTGTTAGTTCATGAGCAAAGATAAACCGTCAAGAGAAGCAAGAAGAAGCAGTGCAGATTTCGCAGACGCAAGCCTTGTAGACCATAGTTAATTTAAGGGTTGTAGGTCAAGAAAAAGGAAACTAAAAAGGCAAATCAAGATCTTGTCAATTATAGGAAAGTTCAACAACTGGAAATCAAAAGAGGTGGCAAAACAAAAATTATCAAGTTGTAGATAATAGATCCAAATTTGCAGGCAAGGCAAATGTTGAATGTTTTCATGTCATAAGTATGACCATTATCGTTCTAAGTGCCATACTAATCTGAACAAAGGAGAAAGTTCTAACTTTTTAGAACACAATGAGAAGAATGATGTTGCCTCTCTATTCATAGTCTGTCATCCTAAAGAAGTCAGCAAGAAGAATGTGTGGTATCTGGATACTAGCTATAGCAACCACATGTGTGGAGCCAAATCTGTATTTTCAAATCAAGATGAGTCTTTTTAGGACAAGGTGAAATTTGGTGATAATTCTATTATTGCAGTCAAGGGACAAGGAAAGGTAACCATTCATGCTAATGACAATTCAGGTCAAACTATTGCTAATGTTCTATATGTACCAAATTTGAAGTCAAATATGCTTATTCTGGGGACAACTTCAAGAGAAAAGATATGAAATCCTTATTAAAGATGGAGCTTACAAAGTTCATGATTCAAAGCTTGCCCTGATTACAAAGGTCAGGATGACAGCAAATAGGTTGTTTTCGTTGTACTTGGAAACTGCAAATCTGCCATGTTTATCTACCAAATTAAAGGACACAGCTTGGCTATGGCATTGCCGATTTAGATGTCTTTATTTTGGTGGGCTGAAAGTCTAACAACAAAAGAAGATGCTAAGTGGTCTTCCTCATTTTGATTATCCTTTATAAATTTGTGAAATCTGCGTGGTCAGTAAGTAGCACTGTGAAAACTTTCCTAAAGACAGATCTTGGAGAGCAAAGTAGGTGCTAGATTTGGTTCATTATGATCTATGTGGACCCGTAAATCCAACATCCAATAGAGCTAAACAATACTTTATTACCTTTGTTGATGATTATAGTCGCAAAACATGGGTGTATTTTTTTCAAACCAAATCAGAAGCCTTAGTAGCCTTTAAAAATTTTAAAGTCTTAGTTAAGAATGAGGCTGGCAAATCTATAAAGGTTCTGCACACAAATCGTGGTGGTGAATTTAACTCACAAGAATTTGCAGATTTTTGTGAATCCAATGGCATTAAAAGACAACTCACAGCAGCATATACACCTCAGCAGAATGGTGTATGTGAGAGGAGGAATTGCACAACCATGAATATGGTGCGAAGTTTGATGTCAAAGAATGGCTTCATGGTACGAAGTTTGATGTCAAAGAATGGCTTGCCTAAAAGGTTTTGGCCAAAAGCTATTAATTGGGGTATTCATATCTTGAACAGAAGTCTCATATCTCCACTTCCAAATATGATGCTAGAAGAGGCTTGGAGTGGACGTAGACCTACTGTTGACTACTTTAGAATTTTTTGGTGCATAGCATATGCACATGTGTTAGATCAGAAAAGGGAGTAAGATAGATGACAAAGGGGAAAAATTATATTTTTCTTGGTGTTAGTGATGAGTCCAAAACTTACAGATTATACAATCCTATTACCAAGAAGGTCATCATTAGCCGTGATGTAGTGTTTGATGAAGCAAGCACTTGGTCTTGGACAAAAAAAAAATATATGGGCAACAGATTCCTACATATTTTGAAAATGGAGACGATCTAACTATGCAGATCTCAGAAGGTCAGACGTAGCAGAATGGAGGTTTAACTTCAACAGACCTCAAGGCTTCAAGAAAGGTAGAGGACGAAAGTCTGCCTATAACAATAGAACATGGTATTGAAGGAAGTTTGCCAACAACACCAGAACAGGAATCTGGAACTAATTCACAATCTCAACGCAAAAAGAGAAGGCCAGCATGGTTGGAGGATTATGAGGTAACAAATCTACCTCAAGATGATGTTTCAGTTACTCATTTTGCTCTATTTGCATATTGTGATCCTTTGACATATGAAGAGGCTGTTAAAGAAGAAAATTGGCAAAAAGTCATGGCAAAAGAAATTGGTTCTGTTGAAAGGAACTAGACTTAGGAGTTGACAGATCTTTCAAAGGGGCACAAGACAATTGGTGTTAAGTGGACCTATAAGACAAAGCTCAAAGAAAATGGGGAGGTTGACAAATTCAAAGCTCACTTGGTGGCAAAGGATTACAAGCAAGAGTTTGGCATTAATTATCAAGAAGTTTTTGCACCAATTGCAAGGATGGACACCATCAAATTGGTGATTGCATTGGTAGCACAGAACTCACGGCCGATCTACTAGCTTGATGTGAAATCAGCCTTCTTGCATGGAGATCTGCAAGAATAGGTATTTGTTGATCAACCTCCTGGTTATGTAAAACCTAGTTTTGAGCATAAGGTTTATAAATTGAAGAAAACATTATATGGACTAAAACAAGGATCTAGAGCTTGGTATAGTCAAATTGATGCTTATTTTTTGAAGGTTTTCAAAAGTGCCATTATGAGCATACACTTTATATCAAATTTGGAGATGGAGGTAAATTGATTATAGTATGCTTATATGTTGATGATTTAATTTATACTGGGAATGATCTTGGAATGTTGGAAAAGTTCAACCAGTCTATGAAGCTTGAATTTGATATAATAAATCTAGGTTTGTTGTATTATTTTCTTGGCCTGGAAGTAGTACGGTCAGATTTTAGAATTTTTATTTGTCAGAAAATAATAGTGCAAGAAGTTCTGGATAGATTTCAAATGAAGAATTGCAATTTTGTCACTACACCAATTGACAAAGGAGTGAAGCTTATGAAAGATCCAGATGGCAGATCTGTGGACAGCAAATTGTATAAGCAGATTGTTGGAAGTCTGATGTATCTGACAATAACTAGACTAGACATAATGCATGGCGTAAGTTTGATTAGCAGATACATAGAACATCCAAAGGAGTTGTAGTTGCAAACTGCGAAAAGAATTCTCAAGTATTTACATGGAACTATAGATTTTGGACTATTCTACAAGAAGGGTGATAAGAAAAATCTTGCAGGTTTTACAGATAGTGATTATGTTGGAGATCTAAATGACAAAAAGAGCACTTCCAGGTATGTTTTTATGTTGGGATCTGGTGCAATTTCATGGTCTTCAAAGAAGCAGCCCATTGTGACTTTGTCCACAACAGAAGTAGAGTATGTGGCAGTTACTTCTTGTGCTTGTCAAGTTATTTGGTTGAGAAGAGTTCTAGAAGAACTTGAGATGAATCAAGATGAGGCTACTTCAATTTATTGTGATAACAGTTCAGTTATCAAGCTTTCTAAAAATCCAATTCTACATGGGAGAAGCAAGCATATACATATGAGGGATCATTTCTTGCACAACTTGGTAGAAAATGGAGCAATTGAGTTGACTTATTGTAGAACAGAAGATCAAGTGGCTGATATATTCATAAAATCCCTCAAAGTAGCAACTTTTTCAAGATTGAAAAAGTTACTTAGTTTTTGCAACATGCAGAATTTAGTTTGAGAGAAGGGTTGCAAATTCCAGATTGCAGACATAGTATTTTCCAAATTTCTTTAAATTGAAGTTTAAAGACCTTCAGTTTAAGGGAGGGATTGTTAGAAAATAGATTCTAGTTTTTGGCTGTTATCTTTATAATTTAGAAAGTTTAAGTTGTTTATTTGTTTTTTCTATTATTTAGGTTGTTATCAATTAAAATAGATTAGATAAGTTTGGTTTATTAGTTAGTTATCTTTTTAGATAAAGTTATATTGTAAAGCCTATTTAAAGGCTAGTTTATTTTCATTTTAAGGTGAGTTTGATTTTCATTCCATTTTCTTCTTCTTAGGAATCCTTGGTTTCTTAACAAGAGAGACAATTTAAGGAGAGAGAAATTCATGATTTTGCATAAAACAAGCAAAAAAAAAAAAGAGTTAAAAAAAAAACAAAAATCAAGAAACAAGATTTGGGTTCTCTGTTATAAGAACCTAGTTTGATATAGGTTTTTTGAGAGGTAAAGAACCAAGATTTGATTTGGTCTCTCACATGGGCAACTTAGAGGAGATGAAGAAGGATGGAGGAGCAGAGAGATAACGTGAAGAAAGAAAAAGGGATTGATAGATAAAAGGGGGATCGAGAATTTTGAAGGTAGTGGAGGAAGGGATAGAAGGTGAGAGGATATGGTTTTGGTATTCTAAAATACAGATATTTGATGAACAAATTTAATCACAAAGAGGAGGAGAAAGGATTAGGGAAAAGGGAAGAAGACTAGGAGAAATCAGTAAATTCAGTATAATTATAATTTAATCATCATAAATAAATTAACTCAAATTAATTAAAATAGTGATTGTGTAATTACACAAGTTTTTTTTTTTTTTTTGTATTAACTTTTCGATATCCAGTAATCACATAAGTTTTGATTAATTCAGAATTGAGTTGTGTTGGACCTCAGATGGAAAACTCTCCCAGTGCTTGTTTCCCCATTTACAAAAGTCGAACTCGAAATTTTATTTAAGAGGAACTGAGTTCCTTCTACTTAAATCAATAAGATATTAGTGTAATTATACCAGTTTTAAAGTGAACATAATCAACTTTTTACAAGGTCAAAAGGGTGTTGGATCCCCCCTTTTTTTTGGTGCCTAGTTGGGGAGAAATTATGTATCAAACTTTATTGCTATATCATATTTTTCCATGCTATATTAAATGTTTTGATGTGTTTTTATTCTCTTGTCAAGTAATCGGACATTTAGTGATTTAAATTAGTGATTTTTTAAAGGTGTAGATCATTTTGGAGCGAAATATGAAAATTTTATTAATTAAATTAAGAATTTTTTTAATTTATAAATTAATTTAAAAATTTCTTACAATAGTTGAGAGATAACTTAGGGTTTAAACAAATGAGAAAGGTATCAAAGTTAGTTTTTATCCTTATTTTTGCCAATCAATTAAAAGACACCACATGTCTTACTTATGTTGCCAAATCTCACTGATTAAATTATCTTAATTAGTAATTTAATTATAGAATTTTTTAAGATAAGTAGTGATATAGAGATAATATTTTATATTATATATCATTAATTAAGTAAATACACTTAGTATTATAAATTTTAAATAAAAAAACTATTTTAATATGTAAAATTATACAAAACAAACTATATAAAAAAATTATATTAAAAAATTATCTTTAAATCATTTTTCTTTTCAAGATGAGCAAATCCAGGATCAATTAAACTTTGAAGAACTAAAAGCATGCATACATGCAAATGAGACTTGTTAATTAATTCTCTAACTGTAATTTGTTATAGTGTTGAAGTGTAGGTAACTGACATGAAAATACCTTCATTAATACTTAGTTAAACCGCCAACAATACGTACTCAGTTCTAACATTAATTATTATTATTGTTTGTATATGCATGGCCAATGGCGACCAAAGAAACAATAATGATGCTGTTTGTCATGAAATTGCATTGTTTTTTAAGAATTTAGACTGACATAAGGAAATATGTCAACCAAACGGAAGAAGTCAAGAAAATTGGGTCTCATTTTTCACCTAATAATTAGGACATCCACTGAGGCAATATCCATTGAAATTATTTAAATACAAAAGCAGGCAATATCTATTGAAATTATTTCAAAACAAAAGCAAACGACACCAAGCAATCCTTAAATTTATTTTATTATAATCTTCGACGTAGAGGTGACTCACATACAATGAATTATACAGACATATACGGTCAAAATCTAGAATTTTGAATTTTCAAAAAATGAAAAATATAGTTAAAAATTTTGAACACGTCAAACATAGCTCATCTAATTACCTCTTATATCACTATTATCAAATTAATGAAAATGCTATAATTTTAATATCATGTAGTGTTTTAACCTTGCAGTATAATGTGTTCTTATATATTTGACTATTTTTATTCAAAGATTCATTTAAAATGTTACATATATTTACTTAGTTAATAATACATTCTATTATTTAATGATATATTATAATTACAAACTTATAATTTTATATAGTATCGTAACTATAATATTAATATCAAATTAAGAGTCAGAACATCAACAAAAAAACAAATTAAGAGTTGATTTTGGTGGAGGTTTTTTTATTATTTATAAGTGACTTAGAATTGAATTAAAAATTAAAATGTTTATAAGTAACACAAAAATTTTGTGAAACAGAGCACATTGGAGCGCAACGCAATGGTCCACTTTCTTAGTAGCAGTTGGCGCGTTGCAAGAAGTTTAGTAGTATCTCTTGACGTAAAAAGTAAGAATCATCATTGTATTAAATCGAATGCTCTTTTAAATCTGAAGAGGTAATCCTCTATTAAGCAAAACTTGTATTATAGTTTAGGTTATGATTCAATTTAGGATCATGCCCTGAAAATTTGTGTATCTTATTAATCTTGGAGAAGTGATCTTTAAGTAAAAAAACCAAATGGATCCAAATTTCTTGTTTTTATCCAATAAAATTAAAGATAATAATTAAGTAATTTTTAAGAAAAAAATATTTATCTGTAAAATTTTAAAAAACTAAAAAAAATCTAAAATTATATTATTTGAATAAATTCTAATTAAAAAAAATTAAAATAACCTAGTTCATGGTAATGAAACTACTAGACCTAACAAATCTCGAGAACATGGCAGGCAGGGCAGGACCCGGACACAACACGGTCAATCGTTTTCTGGTCCGAGTCAGTTTCCCAGCACTCTCCTGCAACGCGTGGAGTTTCCAAGAAAGTGGGCCAATGTCTTCCTTTCTCCCTACTATTCCTGTTGCTGACTTATTCAAAGGGACGACTCCTTAACTTAAGTCTTTGCCCCTCCCTGCACTCCACCGACCTTTTTTCCACCTACACCTCCAACTTTTCTCCTTACTTCCCCTCTTTTTGTACTGATTCTGCTTTGCACTGGGTATCTGATTTTGGTTGATGACTTCTGAAGTTGATTAGTTCGTTCCGGAGTTCTACTGTAGCAGGTCCATTTCTTTTCCTTTCTCTTAATTCGTCTTGCTTTCTTTTGCCTTTTTGATTTCTTTCTTCTTGCTAGTTGGGTTTCACTCGCCATGGTTTTTTGAATTCGGTTGTGAATTGGGTGTGTTTCCTTTTTGAAAATCTATTCTGCACATGTTATAGAATTTATTAAAGTAGTCAGCTTTAGTTGGATGTATCAAGAAATCATTAATGTAATACGTGGGCTAGAAATGCATAGGATTAGGAGATAAATTGAGCATTTAAGCTCACGGTCTTGTAAATTAGAACATAACAAATTCTATTTTATAGAACTAACTAGTAATGGGTTACTGTTTGTAGCCCTACTTCTAGCCAATGCAAAATTTTTTCTACTTTGGTATGGGATGATGCAAGCTTTATTGTCTTATATACAAGTGATCTAGTTTATCCCAATGCTTTATTTTGTTCTCAAAGTAATTTCTATTCCTAAATTGAGTTAAATGTATAGGCGTATAGCTAAACTTCGAGTTTACTTGCAGATTTTCTATTTGAGAAATGGCTGGTTCTGATAAAGATGAGATACCAATGCTCTTCGATACCCCTCAGCAGCGTTCAAATGACAATCCAGATTCTCGATTTCAAGCATTTATTTCCAGGACACAGGATGCTTCAGTTTCCATTCCAACGAACTCCATAGAGTCTTATGAAAGTACTCCTAACCTTTTAGGCCATACTGGTCCCCTGCGGAATGAAAGAAGGACTCCATTCATACAGATGAGTGGTCCATTATATATTACCCGGAATCCTGAAAATTCTTATCTAGGTGTGATGGGTCAGAAACAAGTTGAACCTAAGGCAGAAAAATTTCCTTCTTTTAATGGAATGGATCAGAGTGAATGGTCAGATGAGAACAATGCGGGCAAAAATGAACATTTACTGAGGTCTGGACAATTGGGAATGTGCAATGATCCTTATTGCACAACTTGCCCAACAAATTTCAATGCAGTGCAACCAAAATACTCAAAGCCTTCGGCTATCTTTGATCCAAAGGTATTTTTTATATAAGCAATGTGAAGGTTTTTTTCTTTCTCAATCTGGTTTGTTCTATCCATTCAACATCTAATTAATGTTTGCCAATATATTTTTCATTGTCCTGTGTTGTATGCTGTAGGAGCCAAATGCATGGCTGCATTTCTGAAATGCTTGCAACTGCATAGAGCTACTTTTTTACTAGAACTTCTAGTTTGATTAATGAAGCTTTAGTCACATAGCTAAAATTTATGCCCTTACTAGCTAAATTTGACCTTTGCTAACTTGACTTTACTCAATAAAACTAGCTAGGGTAGGTTCTATATATATTAGAGCCTGACAGTGGTTAATCTCTCCATGGTTTAACTATTCCAATGATGTGTCAATCTTGGTGGTAACAGAAGAAATTCTTAAAAAGATCACATATGTGGACCACTTTCCCTTTTGTTTTTGTTTAATCAATTGTTCTGTTTTGTGCATCTGTAGTTGCCTCTTTTCCACCTCCAGTGCCTAAGAGATGGAATGAAGGAATCTATTTATAGGAGCATTTGGGTAACAATGCTAGAAAATAATCTACTTAACATTACCATACTCCTATAGCCTTAATTGACATTCAAGACTTTGTGAGCGCAAATTATATCATCAGCCATACTCATGCATTGTCTTTTATTTTGTGCTTGTTTTTAGTTCCATAATGCTCTTTATGGGGATGCTAAAGGTTGGGCTAGGAGATTTATGTCTTCTTTGCGTTCATATGTTCTTGGAGTCATGAATCCTCATGCTAAAGTTGTTCAACAATGGAACCAGTTTTTTGTCATTTCATGCTTGGTGGCAATCTTTGAGGACCCGTTGTTTTTTATTTTGCTGTCTGTCCAGCAGGTTAGTTCATTTGTTATTTACTTGATGGATAGAATTTTATGCTTACATTTTAATTTAATTCTCCTTCCTTTTCTGCCCCCTAATTGGTCTCATTCTTGCAAGCTTGTTAACTGGACAAGTTAGCAATTACTCACATTATTCCCCTTATTTTGGATAACAATGCCATTTGATTTTTGTATCTAGTCAATTCAAAACAATATTGACACCAAGAGTCATGTTTGGTTCAATGGAATACTATATTCCACAATTATTGCATGAAAAAAAAAAAAAAAAAATATTCTAAGAGGGAAAATATGACAAATAGGAAGCACTATTTTATGGTTGTTACCTATTTTCTTCTAAAGAGTGAAGTGGTATTGGTTATAACTAAAGCCTAGGGAGGAAGTGGTGATTGCTAATTGCTGTTACTGTCTTATTCCCCCTTATTAGAGAAAATAGGGTAGTGAGGACTTCTCTTGGAATTTTAACCATTGAGTTTCTACAATTTTAATGAATAAAGTCCTTCTACTTTAGATTTGTGGTATTTTCTCTTTTCTTCTTGTTTATCTAAATGCTACAATTTTCAGTTATCAACTTGTTATACTAACCAAAAAAAAAGAGTTAATTTATTGTTCTATAGGTTTTCTGCATTATTTTTCAATAATTTTTGCTGGAAAATGATAAAAGCTTAGATGTTGTGGTTGTAAATTAAAGTTCCATACTCCTAGTTGTGTTGTTGGCCTCTTTTGGTTTTATTCAATACAATATTCTAGTTCTGAATGCAGGATCATAAATGCATAGTTATTGATCGGAAATGGACTTTAACACTTGTGGTATTTAGAAGCTTTACAGATCTTATTTACCTGCTTAA